CGGTTGGGCTGGGGGAGCTTAAAGGGCTTTGCCAACCCAAACCATTCTGGGATTCCCATGTGGGTGGGAGGACTTTTGGTCTGAGCTTCAGCCAGGAGGTTTCCCTACCCTTGCTGCACCCGGGGGGTTAAGCCAAAGCCCAAGCATCAAACCTCTGTGTGCTCAGGACCCGTGCAGGAATTGTTCCCTCTTGGATTTGTCTCGGCAATGACTCTGCTGCCTCTGTGGTTCTCCTGCCTGTAGTGCGTCCAGCTCGGTGTTGTAATGTTCATTTTTTTTTTTTGGAGGCTTCCAGTCAACTGCAGAGGACCCCAGGTGGGTTGAAATTTTTGGACTTGTAGCACTCCATTGTAGTGGGTTGAAGTGGGATCCAGCTCTTTTTTCCCCCCCAGGAAAGCAAGAGTTTAGGAATTGGTCAGGTGGCAGAGCTTCCATCCATGGGAAGGTGCAGTCAAGGGACGCTGGTTCTAATGCTCCAAGGTGTCTCGGTCCTCCTCTCCTAGCTCACCACTGTCTCTGCAGCCTCCCAGTCCTGGGACACGTGCCCCGGGAGATGTTTGAGGGTCTCTGGGGAAGGAGTGAGGTTTCTACCCTGCTAGACGTGCGCTCCAGATGTCGAGCTGAGCGCTGATATCACTCGATATCGATCCTGGCCTGCCCCCACGCCCTTCTCAAAGCTGCCTCCTCTCTCCCGCAGCGTCAGAACGAGTACCTGAGATACAGGCGCCTCGTCATGGGCATGGAGCGAGAGCAAGTGAGGGAGCAGCAGAGGCAGAAAGAGCGGGGGAAGCGAATCGCCGAGTGAGTACGCACGGGTGAGCGCCGGCCTCTCGGTGTCACCGCCTTTGTCTTGGGCAGGGTCCTGGAAAGGTCTCACGTGCTTGTCTGGCATGAACCGGGCCATGGTGTTTTGGAAAGTGCTTCTGCAGCCCAAATGCTGAGGCTTTGGGAAGAATGTCCAGCTCAACATGAAAAAAAAAACCCCAAAAAAACCCAACCAACCCCACACGATGGGCAGCGTTCTGGCTCCTTGGCCCCACGCTGCCCCCGATGGACTAAAAAAGCCAATTCATTGACTTTTTAAAAAAACGGGGAGCGTGTTGAAAGAAGCTGCACAATGCGAATGCCAGCTGGAAAGCCTGACTTACCTCCCAGGTTTATATTCCTGCCCAATCTGTTAACTCTGGGGCGGGATTCATTCAACCAACCCCCCCAGGAGAGACCCTTGGGCCACGTCGAGCCCTTCAAAGGCGGTCCACGTGTCTCTGCTTTCTGAGTCCCCGCACGGCTCGGGTTGGAGTTGGGAGCCAAACCAACAGGCGGGGAGAGTTGCAGCTCAGCAAACCGTGACGCTTGGGAACTGATCCCGAGACCCTGGTGCTACAGTCCGTGTTTAGAAACTTTGGCGTGAGGTCACGTTGTTAAACTGTCTCCGGGTTCTTTTAATATCAGACCCTTCACCCCCACAGCTATAAACATCTATAGTGTAATAAAAAGATTTGCCAGCGTTTGTTCCGGAGTCGAGAACACGGTATCTGTGTAGGAGTATCAGTACTTGCTTTGGTAGTTCAGTCACCTTCTCCCTTTTAAAGGGGTCGTTGAGGCGCAGCGCTGCGAATTCACACCAAAATAAGGGGTAAAAAAACTGCCTGGATGGCCGAGCCCAGAGAGTTGTGGTCAACAGAGTTAAATCCAGGTGGCGGCTGGGCACAAGTGGTGTCCCCCAGGGCTCAGTTCTAGGGCCGGTCTTGTTTTCCAACCCAAACCATTCTGTGATTCCATGATTCTGTGATGAGGAAAGAGACTCTAGGTTTATTTTCGGGTGTGCGTCTGCCTCGCTTTGCAGGAGCAGCACGGGCACCTGGGGGCAGGGTTTCCCCTTGTGGGAGAGAAATTGCGGCTCTAAAGAAACCCACCTCCAGCCACATTCCTTACTTTTTTAAAACTGGGAGCTTCCGAAACCTTTTCTTGCCCTGCAAGTGCAGGTGAGACACCAGAGGACTCCCTAATAGCGGGATATCTTTTTATTATATGTTCCCCCCCCACCCCCAGTTGCAGGGGCGCTGCCGGAGCAGAGAAGAGCTGGGTTTGTGATACCTTAGCGTAAAGCCTGAAGTTGCCCTTGGCCTCGGCTTCTCTAGCGGGAGGTTTCTGGGGGGTTGGTTCAGACTCTGTTACCACTTCATCGAGAAAACATTGTGGAGGTTGGAGCTCGTCTAGAGGAGCTTGGCTTCAGCGCTTTGCCTCTTGCCGTAGCGATCTGACCCCCCAAATGGAGCAACAGCCGAAACGTCTCCTTCGATTACGCGTTCTCCCCCTGGCTTCTACCCAGCCTTGAGAGATAGATTTATTTATTTATTTATTTGGCGCTCATCAGCGGGAATAAGAGGGCAGATGCTTCAGGTTAAAGTCTTCGTGCCTGGTAATGGCCACGTGCCAGGGGAGCGGGCTTTGCCTTTGGTGGGACTTCCTCAGCCCGGATTCCGCTGGAAGGGCTGGAGTGCCCCGTGGCTGCCAGGGAGGGGGAGGAAACGGGGGAGGATTTGGTTCAAAAC